TTTGAGTGAATTATTATCACCAAGGTACACATTTGCTTGTTTGTTCTCTGTACCAGTCATTTTGGGTCAATCATTTTCTGTTAACTAACCTACCTCACAGGGCTGTTGTCACAAGATGACTTGAGATTTAAGAGGAAAGGTGAAATATAAATCTAGAGAGCAAATAATTGAGCAACTGTCTAAAAGCTTTAGAATGAGCTGTGGAAATAATTACCCTTTGAAGTTGGTTAAATATTCCATCTTATTTGCAAGCCATTAACAACTGCCTTTGTTTTATCAAAGGCAGGCATTGTAATGATGAAATATGTCCTCCTTTGTTTTCTAACTTACATTAAAGGAAAATGAAGTTTCTGTGTGCACAAGTCAAAGGTTTTTAAGAAGAGACTGGACAACCATTTGTCTGAAATGGTATAGGGTTACCTGCCTGAGCAGGGGGTTGGACTTTGTTAACCTCCAAGGTCCCTTCCAACTTTATTATCATCATCATCTTCATCATCATCATCATCATCATCATCATCATCATCATTATTATTATTATTATTATTATTAAGTTTATATGTATTTTCACTTATTATAATAATTGTCAAAATGGTAGCTGTAGGCTACAGAATTTAACATGTGTTGTTTTACTCTTCGTTATAGACTAAAGAAGCATTGGGAAAGATTTTGGAAGATCTGGATCCTAAAGACTATTTTAATTTAATTGTCTTTAATTGGCATAGTTCATACTGGAATCCCACTTTGTTGCAAGCCAGCGAGGAGAATGTGGAATCAGCTAAACAGTATGTTCAAACCATTCAGGCTGGTGGAGGTCAGTATGAGGACTAAGAAAGTTTGTCCATCTTTACAATACCAGTTTAATCAGGAGTTAACTGGAACTGATACCAAAATATCTTGATTCCAGTTTTTCATATAATTACTTGACATATTTTTTGTTAAAAAAAATCAAATTATTATTTCTTCCTTCTTATATTCAACATTGTTCAAAGTATTTTAGATTACATTAATAAAAATGAGGCTTGTTGCTTTGGGAAAAACAGGAGGTAGGTATATTAGGTATATTAGGAGTCCAGGTGGCGCAGTGGTTAGAACAGGGCTTTTCAACTGGTGGTATGTGTACCACTGGTGGTACGCGACCACCTGGCTGGTGGTACGTGGCATAGCCTTCCTCCCCCCGTGTCGCTTTCTTCCCCCCTCCTCCGCTCCTTCCCAGCTCACTTGTTTGTGGAAAACATGCTGCTTGACGGCAGCCTGCACAAATCCTACCGAACATGCCCTGCAGAGGGCGTGTGAAGAACGCAGGTGCAGAGCAAGGCCCCGCCCTCCCCAGGGACTCATTGTGCAGCAACCGGATTGACTTCTTCTGGTGCACGCAGGTCAGCGGGATCTGTATTGCCCTTCCCCTCCTCTTCTTACTGACATGCGCTAGGCAAAGCCAACAGAACGCGGGTGTGGAGGGAGAAATGCGCCGGCCTGACTCTCTCCCCCCACTGTTTTGCAGCATTTAACCCTTCCCTGTTTCCACCACGGCCGGCCTGCCTGCCCGCCAGGTTGAAAAGCCCTGGCTTAAAGTCTGAAACAGCCGGGCTCTTGGCTGACTGATCACCTTCCCCCCCATCTTTTCTACAAACCGGGAATCGTGGCTTAGTGGGGGCCTGGAGTGGGTCTTGGGATGCCCGTGCGCCCCTTGGATCAGACAAGCAAGTGGGGCTGATCTCTTCCTGCTAGGGAAGGCTGGAGAAGCCAGGAGAAAGTCAATTATTAGAGGGGGGGAGTCACTTCTTCATTTAAGGCAGTTTTGGAAAAGTAACTTTTACTGGAAAGGAAAGCAGGGTTTTTTCCCCCTTTTCTTGGATCGCCTTCTTTGCTTGGCCCTCTGTTGCCTGTATCGCAGGCTTAAAGTCTGAAACAGCCGGGCTCTTGGCTAACTTCGCCTTTCTTTTCCCCCCCTCATCTTTTCGGGAGATGCACCTTTGCAGTGGGTTTCCCCTTCCGTTAATTATCAGAGGTTTGAAAGGCAAGCTGCTCCCGGAGCGTAATAGTAGAGGGTCCAAACGGCGAGAGTGACGCAGCTCTCCGACTGTCTGCTTCAGGGGGAAAATGTAGGGGAAAAATGACTGGGAGAAGTAGCCGGTTCATAACGTACGTGCCTGAAAACGAGAGGTGAACCGGCCACATCCCCGCCCTGCCTATGCGCTCTCCTCTGCCTCTGCGCACACACAGGCAGGGCCGTGATGTGTTGCTGCCTGCCAAAACCAGGTTGGGGTCTGGGTGGCGTAGCACAGGACGAAGGAACGAGGAAGGAAGGGACAATGGGAGCTGCAGCGCTGCAGCCTTCCAGTCCCGTGAGCGTCTTTCGGCTGTGCTCCAGGCCTCGCATTCATCAGCTGTTCGGCGGCTGAGAGACAGAGCCTTTCAGCTTCAGGCCGCTCCATCAGCCCTTGCCTCCCTGCCTCAGCCTCCCACCCATCAGGTGTTCGGCAGCTAAGAGATGGTGATTTTGCAGTTTTGCCACTCTTTCTATAGCAACTGTTCAGAACTGGGGGAAAAGAATGAACACAACCTGACATAAAAATATGGATATGGAGCCAGGTGCTGACTTAATATTGATTTTTGCCTTGACTGGTCACCTGATGCAGCCTGACGCATTCATAATATTTTGGGACCAGTGGCAATAGAAAAACATTAGTTGGCTTCAAATTACATGTTTGTTTGTGACATGTATAAATGTCATTTATAAATGAATAAATAATCTAAGACTCTGAGCAGTTAAAGCAATTAAAGACAAAGAAAAGAAGGCATAAATCTAAATCATCCACAATAAATTTAGAAACCCAAATCAGTAACAGCCTGAAACCAAAATAAATAACACCACTGGCATCGTAACATTTTTTTAAAAGCCGTCCAGAGTACCAAATTGTTAAAAATTTCCAGAACGCAAAAAGTTGGGGTCAGTTTGATTTCTGCTGGGAAACAAAACCATAGTGTAGGTGTTGCCATTGAAAAGCAACCTTTATGAACGATCAACTTCACAAAATTAAGAGATCGTCAATCTTTTCTCAGGAATCCACAGATCGGCTGGTTCAATTGTAATTGAAGGTCGTATTCTGGAAAATTTTGCTTTTGAATAGCTGGATAGTAGAAATAGTGTTAAAGTGCCTTTATTTACCTGTATTTATTTCATCAGCAATGAGACTTAAAATTGCATCTGATTAAATAGATTTCTTCAAATGTCTTGAAATTTCCTCTCTATGCTTTTTAGGACAATCCCATCACTACTAGCATATTCATTGTTACAATTCTTCCTATTGCAGGAACGAATATTAATGAAGCTCTTTTGACAGCCATTAATTCTCTGGATCAAGCCACCCGTGAGGAGTCATTGCCAGAAAAAAGCATTTCGATGATCATTTTGCTGACAGATGGTGACCCCACTGTTGGTAAGTTAGGAACAAAAAAGCTACCCAGTTCTTATTTCTGTTCTTTGCATTTTATTTGTTTTAGTATGTACTTTT